TGACGTATATAACCATGATGAGCTGAACTAAAAATCGACCAAAATTTTCGATTTACTATACTAGAACCCATTACAATCAATGTTTTCAATGAAATAATAGAAGATAAATCATCACCAACAATAGTAATAAATTGTCCACCTCGTTTTAATATTTTTTGTGCTGATATCCATTGTTGTTCACCACCAACACAATCATAGACAATATCATAATTTTGATCTGAACATAAAAATAAAATAAAATAAGAAAAATAAATCTATTTACCTTTAAGTTCTTCTCCGAAATCTTTTTCCGTATAATCAATAACATGTAATTGATTTTGATCATTATTCATTTCAATACTTGTTTGTGTTATTGTATATCCTAGAAAGAATAAAATTCTATAGAATAAATTAGATAAAATATACAAACCAAGTTTTTCCATTAAACTAAAATTTCTTTGTGAACATGTAGCTGTAACATAAGCACCAACTGCTTTAGCTAATTGAATTGCATATAAGCCAGTAGCTGTACTACCACCACAGATTAATATTTTACTTCCTCGTCCAGTAGGAGGTGAAATTTTTTTAAATAATGCTTGATAACTTGTGTCACATGCTAAAGGTATAGCAGCTGCTTCTTCCATTGTTAAATTATTTGGTTTCAATGTAAATAATGATTCAGGTCCACGAACATATTCAGCATAACTACCACCATGAATTCCAAGATCTCCATACACTTTATCACCAATTTGAAGACGTTTTACACTAGAACCGATAGCAACAACGACACCAGCAACATCAGTACCTGGTGTATGAGGAAATGAATATCGAGTAACAAGTGATAGTTTTCCCTCTAAAATTTTCCAATCGACTGGATTAATTGCAGCAGCACATACTCGAACAAGTATTTGTTTAGATGATAATTGACGAGGTACAATTACATTCTCATCAAGCGTAAGAACATCACGTATATCTCCAAAACCATTTTGTTGAGCCGCTTTCATCACAGAAGGAATAGAAAGATTATTATTTGTATTATGAGTAGTTGTTGATTCAGCCATGTTAATAAATTAAAATCTTAAAAAGAAAACATGAAATTAAAAAACGGCCTACAAATATAATAAAAAATGACTTTATCATATTTACATGATTCATATGTCTATAAATGAGAGCGAAAAAAAGTGAAAATTTTATCTAGTTCACATAAAGTTCGAAGCATGAGTGTAGTCGGATTTTTTCTTTCGTTCTGTTACTGCATATGACAAGCATTTTAAATAGAAGAGAAAAAACTATTACATATTTATCTTTATGTTGATTATAAAATATTGTATCACATTAAATGTAACGAAGCAGTTCAAATATTCGAAAAGTACATCACTAATTACAATTGATTGGAACACGAAAAATACTGTTGGAAACAACAAATGTCATCCATCGTTGAAGGCTACGTGACTCCGAATAAAATAGATTTACAGTGTTGTATATATACTTGTATGCATTGTTTTCAATATTCAGCCTTCGATGTATCAACTAAGACTGATCTCGGAATATTGTTTTTTATAGTGACGCAGTCATATGCTGATTTTTAATTTTAATAATGTTAAATAGCATTATATATGTACTATTTGCTAATTGTGATTTTGAACTTATAATAAAGTTTTTCTTATTATTATATTGGTCAACGAAAGCAAAATACATCTTGAGGGTGGGTGGGTAAGATATAGATACTCACATCGACATCCTCAAAGAAATACATATTATTCGATAGAACTCGTCACGCTAAGTCTAAATTAGTAGCTGTCTTTATTGGTAAGGATATTAAAGTGAATTGATTTATTAAATATATTGTATATACCTGATTTAGGAAGTTTTATAACCATAAAGGCTTGATGAGTCTGAATAATAATGGATATATGTATACCATTAAATAGAGCATAAAAAACTGTGCCGATTGATAATGTATCTTGTGTGTGGCACAACTAATGTAACGAATCGGTTTACCAAATATTGTAAGGTTGCATATTAACCTATGGTAGAAATTACTAGTTTGATGTGTATTCGAGTTTCTTTACATGTATCGTAACATGTGAGATTAATATTCGATAGATCTCGTCGAGATGTATCTGCCACACATTGTTTCATAGTTGGCACGAGTGATGAATCGAATTGATCTAGCAAATACTCGAATCGGCCACTAACCTCCCTTGCATCTGTATCTTCATGGATAATAAATAGTGGCAATTTTTACCTCGTTTATAAAAAGCAAACAACTGACCATCTTGAAGGTGTGGGTGTTATCCTTAATAAATATCCACATTCACCGTCACATACACCCTCATCATACTGATGTTATTACGAAAATTTGGAATTAATTTCATACATTTCTATTATTAAAATATAAAATAGATTTTAATTCTTTTCTTAAGCATAAAAATCAACAAATTAAAATAAGATAAAAGACTTTTTTCTAGTACGATCCATTAATATTGAATTATAGAATATTTAAACAATTTAATTAATAAATATTTACATCTATTAATAGACCTTATATATCTTATAGTTTAGATATACATTGATTAGTAAAAAACAATAAATAAAAGTTTTTATTCCAAATAAATATCAACTTTATACAAAAAACTTTATGAGTAAAATGAAAAATTAATAGAATCAATCGAGAAAATATTTTTTAGTTTAATTATTTACTAAAAATCATTACGAGACTTTATTCTTTTATTTTATAGAAAATAAAAAATCTAATTGATTTTAATCGAATTTCTTCAGTTAAAAGTAACATAAAATTAGTATTTTGATTGATTGTATTAGGTTTTCCTTAAATTATAAAAATCATCAAAAATTCAATAAGAATTTAATTTAATCTCGATGAATCTCATTTGAAATATTTTCCTGAATATTTTGATTATTTATGATTTAATATTTAAAATTGATTAAAATTCTAATAAAATTAATTCAAAATATTATCTTGAATTATTAATCACTTAAAAAGATTACGAGTGTGGATATGACAGTACAATGATCAACTGAAACTCACACTCCTCAAAATAGGTTTAAATTTATTTTTTATATGTACATTTAATAAGTTAACAGGTAAAAATCGATTTTTTTACATCTTTTCTAATATAGGTATCGCTAGTAAAGTTCTTGCGTAAGTCAATCAAGTATTTAAAAATATTAGAGGAATTTGATCTTGAGAGAAAATATAAAAGAGACTACACGAAAGGAAAAAACCAAGGTAGAAAAAAATGATAAGAATAAAATCAATCGATATAAAAGAGATAACGAGAACAAGAAATACAAACACTAGAAAGAAAAATTGAGTGAGAGTAGAAGGGATTAATACAAAAGTGACAAACAAGAACAGAAAAAAAGAAGGAGAATACGAGCAGTCGATATGAAAGTTACACAGAGAAAAGATAAGCAAGCATACAGAAAAAAATGAAAGGTATACTTAGGTCTCAATAAAAGTTTTGTTGCCATTAAACAATACAAAGTGCCTATCAATATACAGGTAGATATAACCGTCTTATTAATAAATATAAAGTCTTATTATTATTTTATATGTATTTCTTTATTGATATAAATTAAATGTGTTATCTTTTGAATAATTTTAGTTAACTCCGTATCGTGTTACATTTTAAAATAAAATACGTATTGCCATCGAGTCGATTCTTTATTTGGTTTTTGATCCATCTTTGATAACTTCTAACAGAGTCACTATAATAGCATACATAGAAAACGACAAAAAAATTCTTTCATTTATTTTTAGTATATTTCGTCGAGAAATGTTTAATATTCACTAGTTGATAATACACAGAGAATAGAAAAATGAAAAATATCAAAAGTATTGTCATTTCATCATCAGAACTGTCATTATTTTTGTGTTCTTCACACGAAAACTATCATTTTTTGCCATTTTACTCTTTTTCCCTGAGTAGTTAAAGCACCAATTTTTGAATTCTTCCTTAAATTGTTACTAATTATCAAATTTCTTCACGGAGAAAAAATGTTTATCATGATCCGTTTTCCTGAATGAGGAATTAAGACGAACACGAATCAATCCGTAGATTTAAGTATACTAGTAAAATAAACTTTCGTTTGAAGTAGATGTTGAGAATGAATATGATAGAATTTTTAATATTATAATAGTATTCATTCAATATTATAAATGAGATTATACTAAACCGGTTCATTTGATTATTATGGAATCTTGATGAACACTACGCTCTCAGACTTTTCATCTTTTGAAATGTCCAAGTTCTTGAGCTAATTAAACAAGAAAAAAATAAACCTTTCGTTTTACAACTATTAAAAAGCAAAAAATGATATAATCGAAAGAAAAGAGAAGTACGGATATTACACGGTTTTGATTTATTCCATTGAAAGTGAGAAATTTCAACCATTTCTTTCGAGATCCAAAAAAGAAAGCAGTAGAAATACTTTTAAATTAATAGATTTTTATTTAATTTAATTTTTTTCAATAATTCTGTAACTACAGTACCGGCGAAAAGTAGGTACCCCCCTGTATCTCAGCCATTATAAGTGCTGTTCATCTGAAACTTTGTGTGTACATAGTACTCAATGAATATAGTTCAGCGACACAGCCGGCGCCCCGATTGCATTTAGTATAAGGGAGTTATAACAAAAATAGTGTATATTATTGTAGACCTCATAAATCAAGAAAGGAAGGACTTATAGAGTCGCGGTTTTTTTT